CTGGGGCTTGCAGATGGGGACTAAGGAAGATCTGCTTGTAAGTTTACATATTCACAAGAATTATTATTTTTATATATTTATTAATTAATATTTTTAAGAATTTTTTTTTATATATATATTGTAGGTTGAAGCAAATGGGGGTAATCCCGATGTCGTTAAGGTGGCATACACGAACAAGAAGACGGGTTAAATTCAGGATCCCGTAATCAAAGAGGTCATGGAGATGGTGCAAACACAAAAAGAAGCATTTATAGCTTCTCAGCCTATCTCTGATGACGATTCTGATGCATCAGTTTCCACCAACTTTTCCCGATGCCGAATTAACGAAATGGTGGAACAGGTATGTTAAAAAATTTTAATTTCATTATTATTATAGGTCAGTTAATAATATTTAACTAATTTTTCTTTGTTTTTAATAGGTGGTCCCAAGGAAGAAAGAACGTTTGGTTGGTTTGTCTCGCCATGCCGGTTCGTGTCCTGCTGCTTCATCTTCACAAGCTCCAAGTGTTGACCCTTCAATTATGGAGGAGCTGCAAAACATTGAGCCCATTCTAGCGTTGGAGGAGCAGAACGCTACAATACTTGCTAAATTGGCGGAACAGAAGAAGCACAATGAAGTTATAATGGACAAGATAAAGCACCTTTTCCCGCATGAGTTTTAGTATTTTTTTTGTTTAAAAAACTTTTAAAAGTTGTTTTTACCTATGTAAAACTTTATTTATAATCGGTGTTTTTAATTTCAGTTTTTATGAACTTATAAAAAACAATTTATAAAATATAAATTTCTTACAAAATAAATATATATATATATATATATTAAAACATTTAAAAATAATTAAAAAAAAAATAACCCACGGACAAAGCCCGTCAGAAATTTCTGACAGTTAGAGTTCGTCGGAAATTTCCGACCACAACATCCCAACGGAAATTTCCGACGAACATTAGCTGTCGGAAATTTTTGACGAACATTAGCCGTCGGAAATTTCCAACGGTCATTGATCGTCAGAAAATACCGACGATCATCGTTGTCCGTCAAAATATATGCTTACAACTTACCGACGACTTTTCCCGACCAAATTCATCGTCGCTTATCCGACAAAAAATACCTCCGTCGGTAAGCCTCGGAAAATCGTTAGAATATTTTGACGAATTACTGACGAAGTGTTTTTCCGACGAGTTATTTCCAGCGGCCATTTTCGTCGGAATATCGTCGCAATAGCGATATTCCGATGACATTCCAACGAAAAAACCGTCCAAATGCTTCTGCTTTCTTGAAATGTACTATTTAAACGACTCTTCCTTCTAACTGAAAATCCTCCATTTGCAAACGAGTGTTTATCACTTCTTTATTTCTTCAAACCTTCCACTTCCATCCGAGTCTCTTCACTTCCTTCATACTCCTTATTCTTCTTCCATACGTAAGGTCTCTGATACTTATCAATGTATTTCCACATGTTATGGTTTATTGAACTTGGAGAAAGAAGACCTTGTCCAGAAGATAGTAGAAAGTGTCTAACCTAATTTCCAGGTGGATAGTCTCAGAGTCGGGAATATGGACATTTTTGTGAAACATTTGAATGAGACCCCTATTTTACAGGGGCTCCACTTTAACAAAATTCATGTATGTATGTAGGAAGAAGAGTGCAAAGGAAGACTAGCAAAAAATAAGATAATAGAGAGATAAATGATATGTAAGGGTTTATAATTTACACATAAACTTCATGTTTATAATTTCTATAATCCTGCATAGAGGGAATATGCAGCATTTACTCAAATCTTTGGATTGTAATTAAGTTTTATTAAATACTCACGATTATACACACTCAAGAACAAAATGATATGTGAGGGTTTGCTTAGTTTTTTTGGTCAACATCGGTCTTTTCTTAGTTAAGTTGTAGGTATAATAAATATAAATATTAACTGTAAATAAGAAGTGAATAAAATATTTTGTTTAGAAAAAACGAAAAATGTATTAGATTAACTGTATATTATAATTTAGATATAAATAAAATATATAATACATATTATGAAAAATATTTGTAAAATTTATGTAAATATTATATAATTAATAAATATTTTTTCTAATAGGGCCTCGAATATTTTAGAACCGGCTTTGGATAGTCTGTATGTGAATGGTAAAAAAAAATTTGTTTCAATAGCTAAATTGTTATCTAAGTTCTCCACTTTTGTTTATAATGTAACTTCTTTTAATAGGCTAAACTTGGATTCTGGAAACTGCAACAGTATTTGTATATTGGTACGCTTTATGACTTCTCTATGGATATTAATCTTGTTACGTAGTTGCTTCATTCATTTGGTATGTAAGTTTAAATTTACTTATACAACTTAACCGTCTGAATGTTAAAAGCAAACATGAATATATTGATATCACTCAAATTATCTTAAAGAGTAAATAACTATCTCAAATAAAAGGTTCAATCGTAGTACTTAGAGATCAAATCTACAAGGAGCTAGGATATGCAATAGATCTAATAAGGATGATTAAGCTACGTTGAAGATGTTTAAATTAAAAGATAGTGTTGAACAAGGTAGTTGTTCGGTTGGTTTGAAGTGGGTTTGTAACGATATTAGGAAGTGGTTAGCCTAAGGGTTTCTATTCAGGTAGTCATGATTATAGAGATATAGGTGTTAGGTTGGAGGATATATTAGCGCTCAACTGGAGTACAAGTCAATCAGCATGTCGCGTTCTAAACTCGTCTATTGACTATATCTATTTGTCTCGGCTGTCGAACGTTGACCAATAGAAAGTGTCGAACGTTGACCAATAGAAAGTGTCGATTAATGGCTTTATAGGACAATCGATCGATACACCTTTCTCAAGCATTGATCAATTATTCTATATGAATATCGATCAATCGCATCTAGTCAAGCTTTGAGAGCGTGTTGATTAATTGTTCACTAGGTTCCAAGATAATGTCTCCTTTTCTAGCAATCCTAGTTCAATTAAGATTAGTTCAGATGACAGACTAAGTAGTCATATTGTATCTAATCATTATAACATCAGAGTTCTAATTATCTTTGGCAGTCATCCTTAAATGGGATCTACGGCAAATGGATGTGAAGAATGCAATCCTTCAAAGAGAGTTAGAGGATGAGGTGTATATCCAACCACCACCAGGCCTAGAAGACATGGTTAAACCAGGAAATGTTTTGAGACAAAAGAAGATAATTTAAGGTCTAAAACAATCCCCAAAAGCCTAGTACCATAAGTTGAGCACAACTTTAAAGGAAAGAGGCTTTGTGAAATCAGAAGCAGACCACACCCTCTTCTCAGCCAGGAAGGTATTGTGGCTATCTTGGTATATGTTGATGATATTATCATCACTGGTAGTAATAGAACGTATCCTCTCAACCAAAATGTTTCTTAAAAAAAGTCTTTGATATTAAAGACTTGGGAGAATAAAAGTACTTTCTTAGGATTGAGATATGCCGATCTAAAGATAGCTCTTCTTATCCCAAAGGAAATACATACTTGACATTTTAAATATGGCAGGAAACCTTGAAATTAGACAAGCCAAAACACCATTGGAAGAAGACTACAATGTACTGCGAGAGGGGTAGTATGAGGCTACCCCATTTGAAGATGTCAAGAAGTATTAAAGAATGGTGGACAAGCTTATCTACCTGACCATTACTTGCCCTGATGTATGCTTTGCTGTGAATCAAGTGAGCCAACACATGATAACTCCTAAGGTTCATCACTGGAACATAGTGGAGAACCCATAGTGTTCTATTCTTTTTCCTTCTACTCTTTTTCTTTATTTGGTTTTTATCCCAAGTGATTTTATCAAATAAGGTTTTAATGAAGGAATGTTTCATGGATTACAAATTTGACTAGTCTCTATGATCAAACTTGAGGGAGAGTGTTGACATGAAAATAATAAAGAGATAAAGTTGAGATGATGATGTAAGACGCAGGAGGGAAACGAATGCATTCAAACAATGCAGAATCAAGTTACCTTGAGAAGTAAGTATGACCATACAGACTCTACCCTAACCTTGTCTTCGAAGGCAAGCAAAGGAATGCTTACTTACATTATTTAATCTCGACCAAAATATCTTAAAGCATTTAGAAGAGAGTTTAAATCTCAGTGGGCAAATGGTTGGAACCGTTGGGGATGAAAACAAATAGAAATCTCATGTTGAGTTAAAGAGAGAGAGGCATGAACGAGCTGTCCCTTTCACCTGGCTGGAATAGCCTTTTGTCTCTTCTTCCTCATCATTTTGTTTATTTTTTGTTTCAATCAACTTGTTTCTCTATTTATAGATGTAACCATGGACCTATGTTGATTAAGGAAAATATGATCGAATCCATCTATCTCTTTCCCTGCACTTGTTCTTCATTGTTCTTCAGTATCCACGACAAACCAGATTTCTATTCTTCTCATTTTATCACCGACGGCATGTACCATCTCATTATCCGAAATTCAAAGTCTGTGTAAGAGTTTTTTATAGACTTGGTCCAAGTTGGTTGTTAACTTTAACAATTTTCACTGTAGCCCATCATGGCCCAGATCTGGTGATATGGATATTGTGGATTTGATGTTTTTGGCTGCAAAAGATTTCCAAGGTCATTATTGTGTGTATAATATTATACTTCTCTTTGATGAAGAATAGTTTACCAGTAGGTTTCATCGAGTTGGTCTCTTCCTCTATCCATCAAAGGATATTTTCCGAGCTCGTTAAGTTTTGGCTTCAGCTTTCCTACGGTGAAAGCTGGTTTTCAACGTCACTCTATGTGATCTCTCTGCTATCCTACTTTGTCCCGAATGCTATTTTGACGCATTCAAACTTTTATTTATGCTTTCGATCAAAGAGGATGGATAATCCCTCTAATCGTTGCAATCAAGCAATTTTAAGGATTAATACATCTCGAAATTATTCAAACTTTTTCCCCATTCTAGAGGCGATCAAATCACCTTCAAGGTTCTGCAATCTTAGCGATTTGATACTGACCTGAATGATAAGTAACTTATGGATCACTCTTTAACCATATGCTCCATATCTTCTACCAAGTGTGGATTGGATCCGGCCAAGGCATGCTCTAACATTTTTCCTCTCTTCATATCTTCACTTCTTCTTCGGTTCGATTCAAGTGTTATAAGCAGAGCAGTTATGTCAGCAGGACTGACTCCGCCCACTCTTCTTGCCTGGCCGATCGTCTGCGGTCTCACCTGACAATACAATGATTCATAACATAATAAGCTATAAAATAAATCATATTCGCTACTCCAATGTCCTTTAACAATACCTTTGATAGTTTCTCACGCCCTTCATGGGATAGAGTTGTCATTGAAAAGTAATCCAAATCCTCTGGAAGTCGTCTATGTTCTTGCTGGGCCATCTATTAAAGGATTTCAATTTTATTTTCAATTCATGTCCAAATATTGAAGCAAGCAAGGAGCAGTTAATGGACAAAACATACCTGCTGCAGTTGGTTTCGCTGGCGTTGAATGAAGCCTTCATATTTTATACCGATCTCTACACACTCTTTCTCCATTCTAGACAATGTCTCATTTCCAAAACCATGCTTTTCAAGTAAGCTGTAGTGGACATGGGGTTTCTTCAGTAGACTCTCTAGTGTAGCTGATTCTTTGACTGGTTGAGAAGACACCTCAGTAACTTCAGTAGCCAATTCACCTCCTCCACCTGTCAAACACATCATCATAATCTTTGAATACGCCAAAATAATTGGCCAGATTTTAATAAGTTTGCTTTGAGAGACAGCGAGCTCCATGTATTAAATAACAGTGTTAAGTCAAAAATAAAAAATAAAAACGTCAGGGAGTTTAACAAATTTCTTGTGCGTAAATACTTTTCCATAGAACTATCTCATGTTGAATGGACGCAACAACGTAAGTTCTTTCTTATTTAAAAAAAAAAAAACTTGAATTAGGGGAGAAAACCTGAAATCTTGACAGTTTTCAGTCTCGTCTTCTCTTCTGAAATCCTTGTTTGCTTCTCTTGGTATAACTTCCAACGTCTATCATCTATCAATCCAAGTTCACGCCCCAGAGGCGTGAGTCGACTATCCGCGTTATCAAATCGAAGAAGAAGCCGATGTTCTGAACGGCTGTCAAAGAGAAGAAACCATATTTTGTGAAAAAAACATAAGCACTAATCATGAGCCTTAGAAGTAATAGACTATAAGAACGGGCACAAAATAGTTCGACCAGAAAAGAAAATTTAGACAAGTCAATGGCCATCAAGCAGCTCAAGAAAACTTCAAAAGTCTTTTTTATTGGTTTTAAATGAAACTATATACAGCAAGTAAGGGCCAGATTGGTTATCTCTACCCTACCCATAATTCAGAAACTAGTGTAAATTATTCATTAATAATTTATTAATGGAGGAGAACAAGGATAATGAACAAGAAAAATAAATGTAGCTTGCCTTGTTAGCATGCGGTATGGCTCTCTGAGGTCCTTTGTGACTAAATCGTCAATCAAAGTACCTATATAACTGCTTTCCCTCTCAAGAACAACGTGCTTCTTACCATCAGAATGTCTGGCAGCATTGATTCCAGATATAATGCCCTAGATTTGAAGAAATAACAGACACTGGTTCAATGATACATAGCAGCAATTTTCATTTTATTGACGATTTGACAGTATTTTCTTTCCATATCATCTTACTAAAACTGAAGATCAGTCACCTGTGCGGCAGCTTCTTCGTAACCAGTTGTGCCGTTGATCTGACCAGAGAAGAAAAGACCTTCAATTTTCTTCGTCATAAGGGACCTTGAACACTGATGAGCTGGCAAATAATCATACTCAACAGCATAGGCAGGCCTTAGCATGGCGCAATTTTCGAGTCCTGGCAAGCTTCTTAGAAGTGGCAGCTGGATATTCTCCGGCAGACCAGTTGAAAATCCCTATGGAAAAATTATAACTCGATAAGAACGATATTGATCTCATAGTACATTGCATTTTAATAAATCACTCATAAAAAGATATTTCAGCCTGGAAGACTTAAAATATCGATGCAGCTTAGCCAGAGTACTTGGTAAACAAACTAAGATATCTGCTCTAGTCTTGAAAACTTAATTTACAGACCCTCACATTAAACTACAAACAACTTCTGATTGGTAACCACCTTCAGGCTTGCTCTAGCCTCTAACTATCAACAAAGAAAATACTTGAACAAAGCATAGGTTTAGATGCTAAAATAGAGACACAAGCTAGATTCATTTTCTCATCTTTAAGTTTCACACTTATCCCATACCAGAGATGATTAACAGGAGAAATCATAACTAAGGCATGCATCAACCTGCACATAGATCTCTGGAACATCTCGGCCCTCAGGTTCCAGGAATATTTGATGCGACACTTTGTCTTTGAACCTAACAATCTGAAACCAAATAAGATATAAAATGTATAAATGTACTTAATCAAAGTAGTTTATGATAATGATGGTTCAACATTCTTTATGTACCGACTGTAGAAAACAGAGAGTGCAAGATTTTCAATGATTCCTGTTTTGTTACTCCTACAGAGCCTAACCTCAACCCATTTTCTTCCTATTCCTTTTGGAGATCTTCTTGATTATATCACAAAAACTCAACAGCACCAGTGATCTCTTCCATCCCCTACTACTACACATGCTTTCGTTAGGCTTTAACTATTATGTATCATTATTAATGACTTATCAGCATGTGTGCAAGTGGGAGACGGAAATATTCTTACGATCACATTGTCTAAAAAATTCGGGTTCCAGTAGTTCTTCTCACAATGTGATTCCGCTCATAAATATTGACAAGTATATCAAGAACAGTAACCATATCTGATATAACTTCCCTTGGTCCACGAAAGAGATAATAAAAAGAAAAAGAGGTAAAGCATATACACAGAAAAGAATATACCTTGTCTTCAATCGAAGGGCAGTACCTAGGACCCTTTGCTTCAACCCATCCACCATACGTTGGGGTCTCATGCAAATTGTCCCTGATCAATTGGTGTGTAAACTCCGTCGTGCGAGTCAAGTAGCAGCACATTTGCTCTCTCTCAATATGAAAATCTGGGTCGAAACTAAACCAGCTGACCTGGGAAAAAAAAACATTTAATGTTCACCATCTTCAAATAAAAAAGGTTCATAAATCACCTTGATTAGATACCGGAAAAAATATAAATACTGTTCCACTGATGAGAAACATAGTTATAAAGTGCTAATGAAAATTCACAAAACTTAAGCTTGCTGCTGCTTAAGTGGCTACTCATTGACTGAATCGCCTAAGTACATGTAACTATACAATAATGATCCTGAATAGGCTATTTATTTAAGTGTATTGCGTAATACCTCTTCGTCTCCATGTTGAGCCTCCAAGAGTGAAAAATCAATGGTTCGGCGATCTACACGAGCTGGCGTACCGGTCTTTAAGCGATCTGTTTCAAATCCAAGTTGCTGCAAGTTCTCTGTCAACCCTTGTGAAGCTGACTCGCCAGCTCTTCCAGCTGGCATAGACTTTCTACCAACCCAGATCTTCCCACTCATAAAGGTTCCAGTGGTGAGAATTAGAGAAGGTGCATAAAAGTTCATTCCGAAAAATGTGGCAACGCCTTCCACGTTGTCATTCTTCCCAACAAGGATATCTGTTACCATTGCCTCTCTAATACAGAGATTTTCAGTGCTGCCATACCAAAGAAAAATTGCAGCCATTACAAAACATATACACCCTGTAATTTCAAGAAGTAGTAAATTCAAAATTTTACATCTTGAGATTTGTAAACAAAGCATTGCAGAAAAGCAAGTTATCAACGGAAAAAATGGGTATAGATACAAGCAAGAGTTATAACTGCAGCCGACCTTTCCACAATCTTTTTCATCTCAATGGCATATTCTCTTTTGTCGGTCTGAGCACGTAAGGATCTTACAGCAGGTCCCCTTGAGACATTTAGGATGCGCTTCTGTAAATAGCATCTGCACCATTTAAAATCAGTCAGTGACAGTAACAAAGAAGAAACTATGATCAGTAACAGTGTTTACACCTACCTATAATTACACTCAACACTACATATGACAATAGAAGAGATACATAATAACAACAAGCATAGAGATGCTTGGCTAAAATATGGAAAACAAGACTCAAGAGAAGACATTGCAATGAGCTAGATCTTTAAACACTCAGTTTGATCTCCTTTACATAACTCTGGTCTCTTTTTGATGAAAAGAATACTCACCTGTCAGCAACTTTGCCAATATCACCTCCAAGTGCATCAACCTCATGAACTAATTGTGACTTTGCTGGTCCACCGACTGCTGGATTGCAAGGCTTCACGAAAAAACAAAAAAACAAAAAAGGTTATCGGAATTACTGTACCACAGTTTTAACAAGTATCTACATACACAAACCTGCCAAGCTATCCGATCGAGGTTTAAGGTAAGGAGAAGAGTACTCGCTCCCAATCGAGCAGAGGCTAAGGCGGCTTCGCATCCGGCGTGTCCCCCTCCAACGACAATAACGTCGTAATTCGAACCACCTACTAAGATGTTACTAGTATAAGCAAAAATAAATAAAAAATCGGGATGAAAGGTTAGTGGTTTGTAAACCTGGTGATGAGCTGAAGCTTGTGGCGTGAGGACGGTTTAAGGAGAGTGTGCGAGGTCGAAAGCATGGACGAGGAGAGTGAAGGGTGAATGAGAGTGAGGAATAGGAAGAGAAAAGAAGGGATGGGACAGTACGAGAGAAGCTTCGGAGATGCCCGAGACCGAAAGAGGTGGAGGCGGTGGTGGCTCTCATCTCTAAAAAAGAGCCCAGATTGTGGGTGGTCGAGCCAGCAATTTTAGCAAACAAATAAATTACAATAAAATTGGAATTTCCAGAGTAATTGCCCTCTATATAAGAAAGAAATTATCTCCAGTGTCCGAATCTAAAATGAAAACAAAGTTAGTTCCTCAAAATTAAATTGTGATTTAATTTACTTTTTGCTATAAAAATAAAGACAATTCTCTCAAATAAATATTTTTTAAATTTTTTATAACAGAATATATCTCAAAAACTAAAATAATCAAAATAACTTATTTTATTTTAAAGATTATAATTTTTTTTTTATAAAAAAATTTGAAATCTTATCTCCAAAAGCCCACTCCTCAACTCTAAACCCCACTCATCTTTGGGGTTTGATCAAGGAACGAGGGGTCGTATTATAGCAAACAATCAGGTTCAGTTTGTTTTTCAGTCGAAGGAGTCTATGTTAATGGTGACTCATCGTGCCCCTTGGTCCTTCGTTGAATTCATGCTTACAGTTACATGCTGGTAACCAAACATTGCCGATGAGGAACTCAAAATCATTTCGTTTTTTATTCAAATTTGGGGTATTCTTTTTCAATTTCTTACATGTCCCATGATTGAATATGTGGGAGGAATCCTGGCTCCAGTATTTGATGTGGATTTTGATGAGAGTTCTACTCCGGTTGATTTTGCTCGGATTCAAGTGCTGTGGAATGTAGATTGGCCTTTACGTTTTCAGCATAACTTTTAGTTTTCTGTGGATGTTAACACCTTATGTCTTTCAAGTATGAACATCTGTGGAATTTCTATTAGAAGTGTGGACTTCTACCTCATGATAAGAAGGAGTGCCCTCTCTGCTTTGATGACGAGCCTCCTCCGTCCGAGTCGGATGATGATCATGGTGAAGATGATGATGAACAGCTCTAATCCGATTGACACTGATGTGCCTACAAGACCAGTTGTTTCTACTCTTGATATTGGCCCAGAGGAGGAAAGTAGGAATGGTGAAGGATCTCAGGGACCTAATAAGAGAAAGCGGGATGGGAATTCCACACTACTTGAAAGAGTCTCTGAACCGGAAGTTGATGATGAGTTGCTTTGGTAGTTTGCTTCTCTTGCAGTGGTGAAGGCTGAGTATGATCGCAGAATGGGTGTTGCTAAAACCTTGTGTAAGCATATATTTATCTCTGATCTAATAAATAAATTGACTGATGATCAGAATGTACTTTCTATGGAGGAACCTGAGGCTGATGATAATGATGATAGTGATCACATTATCCTTGCAATGGAGGGAAGGCGTGGTGCAGGGTCTGTTAGAGACTATTTTGGGTCCTCTTCTGCTGTTCATACTCCCGAGTTTGCTCATGATATGAGGGAGAAGGTGTCATTTGGAATTTCTCGATCTTTAAAGAGATCTTGCTCTAAAGAGTTCCTGGTTGATAAACATCAAGTGGGGGAAAATGTGATTTCAGCGGAGTACTTTGCATTGCATAAGATCTAGGAGGATTACTACAGTCACATTGAGTTGCAGATAGATGCTACTAACCATATAGACAGAGGTGCAGTGGGCCCGGTTCCACCACCAGATCTAGGAGAGTTGAGGTTTAGAACTGTCGCGGCTTGGGATAGTGCCTCAAAGTTCGACGTCTAAAGGAGATACAAAGTTTGTATCACCCAGAGTTGTTGTTCCTCATTGAAACTAAGCAGTAAAGTGATTATGTCTGTGACATTGGTGTCTATTTGGGGTTTGATCAGATGGTGTTGGTTCCTTCAGAAGGTCTGAGTGGAGCTATTGTTGTGTTTTGGATGTTTCATGTATCTGTTTCTTGTATTTCTGGTGATTCAAGACTTGTTGACTTGTTTGTTGAATATAAATATTTTCAGTACTACCTTTCTTGTATTTATGGCCACCGAGTTCCAAAATATCACAACCATATATAAGAAAGGTACAAAGAATTGTAGTCAATAGAATGTCCATGGATGATTGATATACCATGATTTTGACCATCTTTTAGTAATGGTATATTAGTGTTTTTATAACTATTTATTATATTATAGAAGTTTTGAAGCACATTTATAGGTTCAATAGTATTTTGGAATATTTTGGAGAGTATTAGAGAAATCACTCGATTTGGATATCCATCAACACATTTAGGCCGACACGGAGTGTTTATAATCGATCGATATGCACTAAGCAGTATCAATCGATACCGAAGGCACGGAAGACCAATTCGTGGCCCAGCCGACTTAAAGCCCAAGACTTAACCAAATTGCAATGATGCCCCTAGCGAGTTTTTACCTAAGTATTTATACTTTACCAAAGGTGTTTAAGGCAAAGGAGAGCTTTCTTGTATTCTTATTTTCACAGCAAAATGTTGTTAGGATTTTTATATTTGGAGAGAAAATCCATAGAGATTTGTGATTGAAACTCCATTATTTTCTATCTATTTATTTTATGAAGTTTATTTACTTTGCTTGTGTTATGAATTGCTTAAGCTATGTCTGAGTAATTTACTTCTTAGAGTAAGGGTTCAAACAAGTTAGGGGATTAGCCCCAAGTATAAGATCGCTTGTTGTGGTATTTATTCATAGGATATTCTTAATACTTATGTTTTAGACTTGCTAACTAGAAACTTGAACCTAGGAGTTTTAGATTGTTAAGCAACCTTTAGACAGTTCTTAATATTCTGAATTTATTTTATTAAGCTAGGATTTTTTAGAGATTAGCGAGAGCTTGATCTAGGGATCTATAGTGAGCATATATTAACTCGCGCATAAAGCTTAACTAGCCGTGTCGATCGATATTCATTTAGAATAATCGATCAACACTGCTATTGATCGAACACTCTTGTTTGGGTCTATAAATCTAGTTAATAGATTTATTCAGTAAGTGAGAGCCCAATGAATTAGTTACTTAGTGGTTAAGCTCTCCAATACCATGCATACAACTAATTGACATCTATATGAATATAATCTACAACACCTGAACATCAACCTTCAACCAATTTAGTGGAACAATTGTCTTGCTCAATTTAGGATTACTGCTATTTACTTTTAATCTCATACTGCAGTTTATTTTAACTCGACTTAGCATTATTAACTTGATTATATCTAATTGATTCCTTAGCTCCTTGTGGATCTGATCCATATTGTTTGAGAGAGTAAGTCACTCTTTAGGATAATTTGAGTGAAATCAAATTTGGCCCCATTGTCGGGGAGCTTTAATCGCCATTAGATTTAGTCTAATAATTCTAGGTTATTTTTTTTCTTTAAACCCCCTTTCTGATACAAAATATTTTCTTTATTTTCCAGGTGTATGCCCAGTAGAACCAGAAGCAACAAGGAAAAACAACTACTATACTCTGAACACACAACAAGTTTGGAACGTTCGATCCGGAAAGACCTATCCTCCACATCGATCGATATCAACACTAGCATATCAATCAATTCTCAACAACCATTGTCAACCGATTCCCCTTTCAAATCAGTTCACATCAACACTTCTTCGTTGACCGATTTCATTATCTCGACATCAATCCATACCGCATGTCGTACATAGATCGATACTCAACCGCGAGATGGTTGCGATTCTGATACTCACACCAGATGTGAATGGAGACTTGCATAATCAAGAAGGTCATCTGCGTAATGGAGCAGGTCAGAAACTAGATGATCAGGGGACTGTAATGAAGATGTAAAGATCAGGCGGACATTCTGATATAGATACGAGTGCAACAACGAATGGAGCAGAGTCTACGACAGAGAGTGTGCATGCGGATGAACAAGATAAGAATTTGAAGACTTTCTTGGTGATCAACTTGGAGTTGATGCAACGAAGACTGTGGGAACCGAAATTCACACATGTCGATTTTAAGTAAGTTTATGAATTTAGAGTAAACCCTAATTTCCCAGAGGACCCGGCTATCTGCGGAACCGCACACAAGCAATCAAGAACACGATATGAATAAGTACAGATGTAAAAGAAAACGAGATTGAGAGCAAGAAGGATCTTATTCTGAATTCGCGTAAGAACGGTACAACAAGAGTAGACTTAGTTGCGTGAGCTGTCAGTGAGATTCCTATTTCTAGCAATCTAAGACTAAAACCCTAGTTGAGACGCAGCTCGATAACAAAAACGAAAATATTTCTAAGTACTAAGTTTTGGTGGTGAAAGCTCTGAAAAACTCGTCCTCTGCTTCTGTCCTTTGCCTTCTGCTTATATACTCCCTCCTTAGGCGGTTTAGTCATTCCTTTTCGCCCAGATTCGAGTTTATCGGGAATCTTCCATTTTCTTTGCGGAAATCTTCTATTTATCTTAAAACTTGACATTTATCTTCAAACTTGACATCCATCTTCTTTCTGCGAGTAAATCTTAAAACCGTCATTGTATCTTTGGGCTGGATTTCGTTTAAAGTCGCAAGTGGACTTTTATCGCGCTTTTGGGCTGTCCGAGCCGTTTTGCGATAAAAAATAGTTTTATGATTTTAGACGAGACCGTTTCCTGATACGATACCGTTTTTATAAGATTTCTTGAGTTGATCGTATATTTTGACAATGCACGATGTTCCGTCTAATCGTTTCCGTTTCTTCCTGAACATTACGAGAAAAGACGACTTTTACGATTTTTATCGTAAAACTAGAACGATAAGACGGATCGAGGCGAAACGAGAGATGTTTCAACCATGGTTCAGAGCATGATCGAACAGAAGGACGTATTCCTTGCGTCAAGGACGCGGGAGATCGAGGCTCGTGACGGTCAGCTCGACGTACGACGAGCCGAACCGGGTTGGTTCATCTCGCCGTACGGTGAGCTGCTTTGAGGCAACAAGCTCACCGTACGGCAAGCTGAACCAGCTGGTTTGGCTCATCGTACATTGAACTTGGTTCGGTCGAACCTGCTCGCGGTTTAAGGCGGATGCGGTTTTTTTGTGGTTTTTCGCTTAACTTGGGCAATCGTGTAATCGGTGATTGTTTCGTTCGTTCTTTCGAGATGACGATCTCCAAGTTTT